ATTTGCATGCGGCCTGCATTATGGCCACTACGGGGCAGCGCCCGGTCCTGGTCCTGGAGCTACGTTCCTCTGCGCCCGGCCAGTGACTCGCGGCCTCCAGGAGCCGCCAGTTACCCTAGTCTGCCCCCATGCCCTGTGGGATGCAGGGAGGGGCGGCTGCAGGGTTTCTCTACAAACAGGGAATCAAAAGCACAAGACTTCAGGGAGGAAGGAACCTGGTTCTGCCTCCCGCGTTGAGACGGGATCAAACCCCTCTGGGCCCCTCTGACAGGTATTTGCCTCTTTTGTCCTTAAAAAGCCTGCAGATCTCTCAGTGTTGCACCAACCACAGGAGAAAACTTTTCCCAAACGGTTTAACCTAAATCATCTTAGGTGCAAATTAAGTTAGGTTCTTCCTCTCTTTTGTGGTCTTGGAGGTAAGTAGAGCCACCTTTTACATAAGACACTTCTGTCTTCTCTTTTCTAAACTAAATAACCCCCAACTTCCTCCCCACCCCCCACACGTTCCATTTTCTGAACTTCACCTTGCTTTTTGCTCTCCTCTGGACTGTCTCCACCTTGCCTAAATCCTTCTCAAGAGCAGTGCCTCAAACAGGACACACATCTCCATAAGGGCTAGGAAGTATTATTGTTATTTTGCAGTTGAACACCAAGAATCCTTTCATCTTGTGATTCTAGGAATTGAGCCTTTCAGAAAACAAAACAAATGTCCCAAAACACACAATCTAATTTTAAAAGTTGACAACACCTTTAGGGATCCCAACCCCCAAGTTTTCTTTCCTTGTAAGATGCCGCAGCTCTCCATTCCCCCATCTGATTCTGGGAATCCTCATTAAGCTTCTTGTGTAGATTGATTGCAGCCCATGACTTCTGTCTGATTTCAGACTAGGGGATTTCAGTAGGGATTCTGGGAATCCCTACTGCGCTGGACCCAGAACTCTGGCTCCCTCTTCTCACACGATGCATGTATAATTGCACCACCAATGCATGACTCCTTCCATTGCTCCACCTCTGTCACAAGCCTCAAGCCAACCTTTCACCTCTTCTTTACCACTGTTTTCCTCTTTACATGTCACCTCCCCAAAGCTGGCTTTGTACAGAATAATGCTAGGCCTTCTCATATAAGCAATGACTGCCATTTTGTATCCCTCCACTGCCTCCTTGTTGATTTCAAGATTGCCCTCGTTTTCAAGGGTTCACCTCAAATGGCACAAACAGACATCATTTTGTACTAATTTTGCAAGTGATAATACATCCACTTCTGACTAAGTATAAAGACACCCAGTCAATGGTCTCTGCCTGTACCCTAAGCACAGGCAAAGTCTGCATAGTTATTATTCTGGTACTGGCTTACACTGAGCTGAAACTGCATGTGTTTGGAGGGTAGTTGGAGCATAGCACTTTCACTGAGGTGGCTGAAAACAAAAAGTATCAGTGGAAGAAAGGTACAGCTTACACTGCTTAGAATCTCTGTAAACTGTGGAATTCTTCCAAAGACAAGGCTCAAACTGCTGAGGTTAATGGAAGTTTTTCCATGTAGGTCACTGGGCTTTGGAATAGGCCCCAGCCCTTTACGCAGAATAACTTGGTAGGTATATGGAGATAAAATTAAGGAGACTTGTCCAAACTCCTTAGCAAGTTCAGTGAAATAAGGCAGATGTTTGGGCAAGTCATTTCCCCATTTCTATACCTGTATCTCTAAGATGTGAGTGATAATACTTACTGCCTCAGGGACAGGGAGATGACAGCAGATTAGGAAAGCACATGGAGCCCCTCTGGTAAAAGGCAGACTCCAGCAGTACAAAGATAGCAACACTGCTCAGCCTGAGCCTGTTCAGTCTGAGCATGGGCATGAAAACACTAAAAGGTTTATTGACAAAAGGAAACAAAAGTGGACAATCCAGATACACCTCTAGCTCCCCAGACCTCCCCAACCTCCTGTGAGGTTCCATCTTCTCACTCCCCATGCCATTTGCTTCAATCAAGTCAGTCCGCAGTAACCCTCAGAACCACACCTTTTGGTGACACACAAATGTTCTGTAGCAACAGGAACCCAACAGGACAGGGTGAACACATATTGAGGCCTCAAGTGTCTGTAGCATTCTAGAATGGTCCTGAGATATTTTGCCCAATAAGTTGCTGTTTGGGAGAATGAAGTATTTTAAGTTGGAAGAAACAAAGTCTGCCAAGGCAGAGGCCACGAGGCAGCTTGCAGAGCATCCTTTAGGACTGGGGGAAATAACAATACTTGCATGTCGTGCCTTTGTGTTGTTCCAAATTTCCCCTAAGCACCACACAATCCTCCATTCAACATTTGTACTCACATGGTACAAGGCTAATACAAGCTGACAAGGAAGACAATGGCCAAAAGAGTCAAACTGACAGCCAAAGAAAAAAACTAACAAGGGAATTAAAAAGCTGCAGACAGCTGGACTCCTGACTGGCTGCTTGAGAGACCCAGCTGGTGTTGGGAATTGGTGCTCTTCGTAAGAGTGGCAGTTTCTACAGCTCACTTTGTTAATAAGGTGTTGGTTCCTTCAATCACCAGGCAAGAAGATTTCAGCTGCGTCTCTCCAGGCACAGCTAGGATGGTGCAAAAGAAGCATGACATTATCCTACCATATTTAATGATGGAGGCAGATATTACAAAAGGAAATGGCATCATTTTTAGAAAGCAACAAGGTATTTATATCAACTACTGCACCTGCACTGGTACTAGCTGGGAACAATCACAAGAAGTACCAGTCTTCATGCTTCAGGATATTATTTGCGGTACAAGAGTGAGTGGTCAGGAAGACATACCAGTGGGGAAAAAAATCCTACTAGTATGGCACTTTGCAGTTAAACACATTGTGGAAAACAGCAAATGGAGTGGGGACACTTTTGCCACTGCTGTTCTACTCTGTGTGGCAACTGGGACTCCTGAAAGGGAGGAGAAGAGCAGCACATTGCACTGAGATCTGTTATCAGCACCTGTTAGTTGCAAAGGATAACATCTGGGCCTTGAGAACCGACTCTACGCTGAGGGCTCCTGTCATCTCCAAATTGGTTTCCTCAGAGCAGGGAAGATAACAAGTGCAGCTCTCTAATTATAGAGGCACATAATCATCTATGACAAAAGGACATCTCCTGGGAAAATATATTTATAAAACACATTTCCCTCCTCCTAAATAGAAGGTATTTGGATAATGAAACCAATATATAGGCATAACACAGGAGGGAAAAATTAACACATACCTGAATGTGGTGGGATATAGGCATCCTCTCCAAACAGTGCTAAAGTTGCCTGTTTATAATCTGGACAGAAACAAATACAGCCCAGTATCACCCCTGGGAACACTTTGCACAGTGCCCGAGCAATGCACATCAACATAAGATCCTCAGACTCCTTCAAACCAAACAGTCAAAATATGGACCCCATGCCAATGTGCTCCGTGCTAGGAGAGGCTGGTTCCATTCCTACCATCCTGGTAGCCCCCTCAGCACATGATGGGACTTTCTACCTTTCTTCAGCACTTCCCTGAAAGGAGCTTAGCCCCCAAGTCTCTCCTGTCTAACCTTGAGATTTATACAGGGATAGTCCTTTGCTGGTCCAGTTCTGACAGGGGAGTTACCACAGTCTAGGAGACCCTGTGTAGTATTTGTCTCCTACTTGGCAGTGGAGCTACCCACACTGTTTACAGCACAGCAACTGGGGGAGGCAGAGTCAGAACTTGACTGCCCCTTGTTCTTCCCAAACTCAATCACCAATGGTTTCCCCTGCAGGTTATATCCATTCACCAGCAGCAAAGCCTTCTGGGCAACCTCCACACCTGCAACAGGAGTGAAATAAAATTAGGTTATAGGTCTCTGCTCCTCAAGCCCACTGAGCTCCACAACAGATTTTGTGGTCTTCTCCAGGTCATTAAGGATTCTCATATTCACAATCTACCTACAGCAGCTATACCATATGGTGGTGACATCACATTAGTAGGGCAGTGTAGTGAACAGCAGCCAGCATCAGAGATCCTCCTCATCCATGGAAGATAACCTCACTCTTATTCCATGGAAGGGCTGGAGGTTTTGACTGGAGCCATACCGGGGTCTGGATAAGCTTGGAAACAGAATCCTCTGCTTGTCCCAGGGCAAGTAGGCCTTCCAGCACATTGCACTTTTAGTAATAAGGAAAGGACTACAGGGAGCAACTCACTGGAGAAGGTGATGAAGGCTTGGCCCCTCATGCGGCCATTCAGCAGGCGGAACTGAATTGGTGGCCTGTCCTTCTCCTGGAATCGAGCAAATAAGGAAACCAGCTCCCTCACTGTCACCCGGGGACTTAGGTTCTTCAGATACAGCACCTGACCAGGACAAGGAGAGACTCAGTTACCACAGGCACGTCAAGTGACATTTCTTTACATCCAGCTACACCAGACCTGAACCTCTCCCTGCTCTACATTTGAAGGGACTGACTCTATCCCTCTCATTGAATACCCCTGTAATCTTTACACAGAGGAATCTTCTCGTTCAAATATCTCTTTTCTCACAGCAGAGGAAAGAAACTACCTACTTTTGGGGGGAGGGGAGAGTATGTCCTCTTCAGGTGATGGCTTCAGTCATTAACAAGCAGGAATAGCT